GACATTTTAAATCTGGCTACCGTTATCTCAATAGTTAATGAGCTTAATATTAGCTTCAGAGTTTTATTGAGACATAACTTAGAGCAATCGTCCATGATCCACCCTGCAGTCAGGCTCACGGCAAAAAGAATTCAACGTATATTTGCAATACGGTTAAAAATGAAAACGAATACCCTTTGTGAGGCAACAGCGGTGCGGCGTGGAAGCATCATAGACTGAATAAAGAAGTGGACTAAAGGCCGTCACGCGCTACAGGGGAATACATACGGCCCAATTTATGCAGCGATTTGCTTTTCCCGGAGTTCAGGGAGCCGTGACCCGACTTTGTGTCCTCGGATGTGATTTTGAAGCCGCTGCGCTCCTCGTGTGTGGTGTCACTGTGACTCTGAGCTGTACTGTCAGATCTCAGTCTATAAATCGAAACGACCAAACATCAGCAACAGCCAATAAAACAGAACGTGAGGGGCAGAGGAGTGACAGACGCAGAGAGTACTCACCTCTCGCAAAGTTGTAAAGTTAAACTGCAGCGTCTTATCGATATTATCCATAGAATTTGTCCCCCGCAAATGACACCAAAAACACAAAACAGCGCTATTAATCAAGTTTAACACATTCTTTAAAGGGAAAAAGGTGAGAGTAGCTCCTCACATGTGTGTATTTACATCCACGCAGCGCTGTGTACTTTATCGCCAACCTTCTGTGCATTAAAGGGCCCATCTCATGCAAAATCAACTTTTCAGAGCTTTCTACCTTCTTAGAGTGATGTGTGGGCCTTGTATATGTCGCCGAAGTGGTTTTTAGATTGATTCTGCGTTTTTTTTTTAACAAATTGCAGCGTATTTCTGTCACCCTCCCACGTGACTACGAACTAAAGCTGCTACAAAGATAATGCGGCAGATACACCAATGACGCGTTTGATGTAGCAGAAAGCGCCTCGCACCTGCCCCCTGCTTCACCGCCTCCGCCCCACATCTGCTGACAATTCCCACATGAACACCTAAACAAAAGCGACAGCATAAACTCATTGTTCTACACTGCAGTGTACACGATATAATAAGTTAATATTAATGCTTTACCAATCAGTAATGTTCAGCTGATGTTGACTCTGTGCTTGAGCTTCGTGCTCCCCCAAGTCCTCGTCTGATTCCGGGTCCGACACATAACGCGCTGTATTGCCATGATGAATAAAAGTTTATTCCTACCGCTATCAGGGTGCACGCCTGTCTCCCCCTCCCTCCCTGAGATGGGCGGAGGAAGGGCGGCTCACTTAGAGCCTACGTCATGTTTGGAGGGCGGAGCCTGTGCTTTCTCAGGACGGGCGGGGGATGAACCAATAGCTGACCTTTCATAGTTCCTGGTCTGTGACGCCTCCAAGAAATCAGTAAGATTTCATAACTATTGTGTAATGGATGTTCCAAAACCCAAACTGTGCTTGTGTATGTGCAGAAGATACAATGTGAAAAGAGTTATTTTGCATGAGATGGGCCCTTTAAATATCATATATCTGAAACATTGCACCACATTTCACAAATAATAATAACACAATTTTGTCTTGTATCTAATCTACAGTGTTGGGAGTAACGCGTTATAAAAGTAACGAATTACAGTAATGCATTACTTTTTGCTGTAACGCAGTAATGTAAGGCATTACAGGGGAAAAAATTGCAATATTTTACTAGGTACAAATGTGAGTAACGCGCGTTACAATGTTTTTTTTTTAACCTGGATTGAAGTGGTGGGTTTTTCTTCATACAAATTCGCTAAAATCACCTTGATATCAGCAGCGGTGATGCGCCCTCATAGACCTTCAGGTAAAAAGGAAGGACTGACAAAGAACTCCACGCTGTTTAGACCTGGTTTAGACCTGGGTCAGTTTTGGTTTAGACCTGGTTTACACTCGTCCCGCCCTCTATCGCAGTTCACTTTTCGCGGTCTCGCTGTTTCGCAGTTTTTTGGGGGGTTTTTGTGCAATTTTGTATGCCCTTTTTTCACATTGTATGAATGCGTATTGCATTCCTCCTGCTGCGTCCTGACTGGCCAAGGGACTCCTGTCTCCTGTACAGTACAGAATGTGTTCAGCTGCCAAATTTAAATACATGTTCAATCTCTAGCAGTGTGATTCTGAAGTGCTGTACGGTTGCAAGTTTTCTCCCTGACGAAACCCACAACGTCGACGAAACATTCTGCACCGACAAAGGCTCCTGCACTCGCACCCAAAAGGCAGAGGAAGATGTAACCATCACACAGAAAGTTGGACTTCTGGACACGCTGAAGGAAGGTAGAAGTTACGCGCTGTAACAGACTCTTGCACCGGCTCGGGTACCTGCAAATAGTTGCTGAAATCAGGGCAGCGAGCCCGAGCAGCAGGGTGTCCATAAAGAGCGATCGGGTGACAGACGCTCTTACCTCCGTGAGGTGCGGAGCAGAGCCGCTCCTTTCTCCTGCGTCACCTTCGAGCCCGTCCTGACAGTGAGTCCTGTTTTAGTCCTAGTTCAGTTCTGGTTTAGTCCTAGTTCACTTCTGGTTTAGTCCTGGTTTAGACCTGGTTCAGTCCATATACAGCGCAAAAGTTATTTTGGTGAGAGTAACTTAAAGTAATGCAATAGTAATGTAATGCCTTACATTTTAAATGCAGTAATATTGTAATGTAACGAATTACTTTGAAATGACAGTAATAGGTAATAAATAACGCATTACAGTTTCAAAGTAACTTGCCCAACAGTGCTAATCTAGAAGTGCAGTGCTCTGATCTTTAGAACACTTAAGAGTCTCAAAGTGAGTAATTTTACTCTAGACAGGAAACAGCTGCCGCGATGTGCACTTACAACTTTATATCCTGTTGTCTGCAGTCAATATCCCGCTGCAGTCTTTGTGATTGGATATTTAAAATCTCAAAAGATTCTCCTTATGTATGGGGTGTGGAGTTTTGCATGTATAAAAATCGTTTAAGACTGAAAAACTCTGCAGTGTGTGGCGGCCTTAAGGGAGTGTGACGTCACCCATAGCATTCGGCTCCAGCCTAATAAAGCTCAATAAGGTTAGCAGTAGGGATGTAACAATATCCAAATCTCACAGTACGATATTATCACAATATGCATCTCACAGTATGGCATTTATTGCGATATTTTGAAAAGGCTAATATAACTGTAAATGTGTTGTTTTTAAAATGCTTTGACAAGATTTTGGCGTGAATTATTTCCATCATAATCCCAAGAATTCACATAAAAAACATACCTCTTCATGTTGTCTTGACTGAAATGAATCATGGGATATGTAGTTTCCAATGTTTATAAGCTGTTGCTTCTATAAAACCATGCATTTAAGCAAAGAAACTTGTAGTTCATTATATTGTCAGCCCATGATATTATTGTGAGACTTTTGACAATGTAATATCGCGATATTTCGGTTATTTTTACATCCCTAGCTAGCAGTTATAGAGGCAGATTTAGAGCCGAGTACTAGGAATCGGAATTAAATTATGGACAAAATAGCGAAATGAGAACACCAGGATCATGTAGAGCGGGTTAATACGAACATTTTAAGAATGAAGAATTTTAAAATGACGAGCAGCAGTTACAGAGAGAGGGGTAACAGAGATTTTTTTAAACGTAAAGTCAATTGGAGCCAGATTCGATGGAGCCTGAAGCGCACCAATGCTCACTTCCAATTTGAAACGCAACAGCTAGCGGGTTAGTCTATGGTTTGCGTTCAAACTTGTGACCACAACTGCGAGGTCGTTGGTTTGAACCTTCCTAGAGTGCACTGTTTAAGTTCAAATTTATCTGAATAGCACAATTCAGAGTCAAAGTAATTCTTTACCAAATAAGAATGACATTAAAATCACAATACAAACCAATCTAAACATAAGTATCATAAAATTAACAGTAAAAAAGAAGAGTGTCGTATCATCATTATCACATGCAGCTAAGCAGAACTATTTTGAGTCTGGATTTAAACATTGTCAAAGTAGAGACTGTCTCACATCTTCACGAAGACTTCTGTTCTGAGCGTTGGACATCTTGCGCTGCACATTATTCTTTTTTGAGTTATATTTTCAGTTTTATACGTACATAGGGTATATTCAGGTAGATGTGATGCAAATTTTGACAAAAGTTCAGATTTTTCAGCTAGGGCATCAACGCTCAAACACCACGTGAACACTCGAGACGCACCATGGAAACGAGCAAACGCAACACCCAGCACAGACTTATGCAATGTCAAATGTTTCAAATGTATACTTCAGTAGGATTTAGGACACTATGAATGAACTTGAATGAATTTAATTTGACAAAACAGTAATATAAGCCTGCTTTTTTCTATGGCGATGTCATTACTCTGCCTGGAATGTTCCACAGTGTGACATTAAACAGTTCTACCTTTCATTTGTTCAGTTACAGATGATTTATAGCTCAAAAATACCAAGAAAAACAAAGATTCTGACTGTGAGCTTGGTCCACAGATCTGACTTGTAACTTGGTCTGGTTTGCTCTCTATGAAGATAGAAAGGTTTAATGCCATACTGTGTAACATTCCAGACATGCAATAACATCTCCACCATGAAATCGAGAAAACTAGGTGCAATTATGAGTCAAATCTTAAATATAATTATAATTATGGCTCGTCTAATCTGTCATAAGCACTTTAAGCTTATGACATGCAAGTTTGAGTCTGTCAAATGATTTCACTTAATATGAGTCTAACAGCGGACAATGTGTTGATGATTGGAATAGAATTTCCTTCTTACTGTTGCCGTGAGCTCTTTTCGTGAGTGTTTTGCTCTAAAAACTGTCAGCTCTGAACACGTTAATAGCACAAAACATCCGTCCCCTTTCCAGCGCAAACTATTACGCATTAGTTCTGCCAAATAGTTATGAATATGCAAATCAAGGGCTTTCTGAGTCAACTTCATCGCCATGGCAAAGAGCTGTTGTGAAGCTTGTGTTTTTGTGTGTGTTTGTGTGTCTGTGTGTTTGTGTGTGTGTGTGTGTGTGTGTGTGCAGGGAGCTGAAGCACAGGACCATGAAGGAGCCTGACGAGCCCAAGTTCCAGCTGCAGCAGTACGTGGACCGGGAGATGAGGACGGTGGGGTGCTGTCGCTCGTAGGCAACTCCCACACCACCCAGCACCCACCACCCACCACCCAGCACCCACCTGTCTGTATATACTACTACATGTGCGTGTATGAGGGAGAGGGATCACATACGCACAGCACAAGATTCACCTGGCTATAAGAACTGTGGTTAGACTCAGTATGGAAACTGAAGATTACCGTATTTTTTGGACTATAAGTCGCTCCCGAGTATAAGTCACACCAGCCAAAAAAATGTGTAATGAAGAAGAAAAAAAACATATATAAGTTGCATCGGACTATAAGTCGGTGAAATGGGGGGAAATTTATTTTATAAAATCAGAGGCCAGGAACAGACATTTCATCTCGAAAGTCAAGTTCTAGTAATAACAACAGAACAGAGAACAACAGACTGTTAACGTCACATATGAACAGTTCTTCAGATAAACTATAACATAAACAACAGAACAGAACAATTTTACCAAACTCTCCATCTCACTCCAAATCACTAAATCCATTGAACTTTTCCTCTTCCTTACCTGTCATCAGACTCAGCATCAGTTCCAGTTAGAATTATTCTGGGCCTTTCTGAATCCCGAGAGGATGGTTTTGGTTGTCATTGAAGTGGATGCTTTGTCAATCCATTCACTGACTTCCAGGAAAGTTGCATGGTGCACCCTCCCGGTTACCATGAAGCTGTGTTCTCCATCCCCGCTTTCCGTCAGTCCCTCTCAAGTTTTTCGCTCACTCCAAACTTTTTTCTGCTGCTCGACTACCGTTTTCGGTTGAATATTTGACTACTTGCAGCAGGACAGAGGCTCTTTCTGCAGGAGACATGTGCAGAAGAGGGCAAAGTGACAGTGGTGCAGGAGTAATAGGAGCAGCAGATACTGACACACAAGACCAGAGCCTCTCGCGGCTGTCAGTGTGAAAATTTTAATATATGTCGCAGGATTACTCAAACCATGAAAAAAGTGTGACTTCTAGTCTGAAAAATATGGTATGTTTCAAAAAGCGGTATACAAGGTCTAGGAAATATTTACTAGGGATGCACCAATACCACTTTTCCCAAACTGAGGAGTACAAGTGCTTACTTTTGAATACTCATCGATATTGAGTACCGATACCAGGCATTATTTTTATAGGGCTATTAATACAGTCGTGAATCTAATTCATTTAATTGGATTTTTATAATACGACCCACTTTTTCACCTTATTTGTGGAGCTGTTTTAAACCTTATTGTTTGCATGCCCTTCTTTTATTATCATACTTTCCATTTACTATAATATTCATTGTTTTATGAACCATAATGCTGAGGGAAATTTGTAGTGTATGAATTTTACTCACTAAGAGTGGCAATAAAACCTATTATGATTGTGATTTACTACTTTTTCTTTACAGAATACACACTCCAAACTAACTCTGAAAGTCTCTCTGGGACTCTCTGGGACTCTGGGAGTGCTACCTACCCAGGCCCTTTGACCTGTACATTATGCCTTTTAATACCTTCATCAAAGCGTAGATCCTCTTCAGATACTAGATACTCCATTAGCGTTGCTATTATTGGTGAACTCTGAAAACATTTGGAGTCCCAAATGTTCCTGTGAAATATCTAATGTGATGATCATTGCTTAATGCTTAATGTGCAGAACAGTTCATGCGCACTCTTTATTGTCCACACCTCACTGCTCAGCTCAGAGGAGAGTCCTGGCTCTAGAAGTGGTGCAGTTAAGTGGGATCGGTTCTTGATATCGGCACCATATTGATGAGTACATGCACGTGGTGTTAAGCTGGTATTGGTGCATCCCTAATATACACACACGTCTGTATAATCCCTCAGCAGACCTGATGGGATCCAGCGCAAAAAAAAGGTTGAAATCAAACCAACTGGACACAGATTTAAAAAATAACATCACACAAACACTTACGTTTAGGGACCACATCCATAACTAAGTGGTACCTGGTCTGTTAGTTATTGGTTCTTCATGTATTGTCTCGGTAACAGTTAAGACAATGCCCAATATTATCCATATGATGCAAAAAAAAAATGATTAAAGTTGTATATATTATCATACACTCACTACAGAATAAAGAACATTACTACAGTATGTACTTTATCAACAACAACATTATGACTACGTTTTATGCCTGTTATAGTCAGCCATTGATACGTGCTCCCTAAACTCAAGTGTTTTTGCCTCTACACACTGTATATGACTGAAGCCTGTGCAGCTGGTGGACACAGAACACTGTTGTCTTCTTTATTTCAGACCCACCTTCCTTCTGCAAATGTGAATGTAATCTGTGTGTCCACGCTCGTGCATACAGGTGCATGTCCACACAGCTCGGCGTCGTGTGTGTGAACGGCCTGCACAGCTCTTAACTCCTCTATCATGTACAGAGTGTTCACCTCCATACTAATTTTGTGCTCTGAATCTTTGTCTTATTAAAGTGTTATATAATGTTATTTATGTTGAAGTATAGGACTCGTTTGTACAGAGAGAATCTTGCAGCTCATCTGTGCGCTCTTCAAGGCTCACAGTCTTGTTTATAGATAGACATTTGCTGTATTTGTGATTATGATATTACACCATGCGTCTATGAAATATGATATAGTGTCCTTTTATACTCTATACTGTGTGTTTCAATGAGTTTAGTTTGACTTAAAGGTGCACTGTGTAACTTTTCTGCTGGAGAGTCCATCGCCTCCATCGCCCGGGATCGAGAATAGACATTTCTTCAATTCTTTACAAATATGTGAGTCTTGTCACTGGTTGAATCTCCTTGAGTTCAGATGGGTGTGATTGACAGGTGGATTAGTCAGTCAGACACACATGGTCCACTTACTGGGAAAAAAGGGAAAAAAGACAATTAAAACCGCAAGCAGCATCGAACGCATTAACCCATTTCTCTTTATTTTTACTACTGTCTGCATTTTAGAAACATACTGAAGACATCACATTTGAAGTAAGATATATGGAATTATGCAGTAAAACAGGGGTCTGCAATGTTTTTCAGGCCAGGGACCCCCAAATTTATGGAGAGCTGGAGCAGGGACCCCCTTCTATATATGTGGCATACAATTGTGTTGTATTATATTAAATTGGGCCTAGTGTTGTGTATAAACAGAACTACTCTGTTATTGTACATTCAGTACTGGGGGCTTTCCATCGAAGTCGCGTAACAAGTCTAAACTTATCCTAAAATCTTGAGCTGAAACTAGCTCCATCTCCAGTTTAAGTCTCAACTCCTTCCATGACAGAAATTAGCCTGAGTCTGACCAAAACTAATTCAGGTTTGAATCTTAAGCTGAGCTCTGTACACTCGCGTTGACTCTGAGAAGACCAGAGCAATGGAACGACATCACGGGAAAAGGGCTCTGAGTATGACGTTTTAAACAATCTGATTAAATGAGAGAAGAGCCACAGCGCACATGGACAAGAGTTTGATATATGACACTGAACTTTTCCGGTCATTCTGAGCTGAGGAGCGAGAGGAAAGACACGACTCCCCCTCTCTCCTGATAGTGGACAGAGAGGAGGCTGACTGCGGAGTGCAGACTCCGGAGCCTGGTTAATGCGCCCGGGGAATGAAGTTGCCTACCCCTTCCCGATGCACGGTAGTACGTTTGGAGCTTAAGTTCCGCTGCGTGTAAAAGTAAAGCTGTAATGGAACTCTTAACGACGTGTTTACAGTTTGACGAAGCGATAGACGAGAGAATGATGAGAAAGAGACAGACATGATGAAGGAGCACACAGCCAGAACCCACTGAAAACCAGTTCATCCTCAACTTTCAAAAAATATATAGATAATTTAAAAAAAATCTTCATCAACCAAATATTTCGCGACTCCCCTGCAGTACCTCCCATGTTGAAGACTTCTGTAGTAAAGAAAAAAGCAAAATAACTAATATTTTTCAATAAAGGAAAGTGTGGCTACTTAGAGGATTTGAATATAAAATTAAAAAAATAGTGGAGTTGTTTAACTTTTTTGCTACATAATTTCACATATCTTACTTCATATATTTGATGTTTTCTCTGTGTGTTTACAGCAAAATGTAGAAAGCAGTAAAAGTGCAGACAAAAAAACATCAAATGTGAGGGTGCGTCCAAACTTTTGACTGGGAGTGTAGCTTTAAGGAGACAAGAAGGTGACACCATCAAGCCAAGATCTGTGGAGTGGCAACAGTGCTCACACTATACAGGCATTTTAATTTTTTTTTTGGCAATAGAAGTCCTGAAATTGAAATATTTCTATTAAACGCATCTCGTTTAATAGCGTACTGAGTAACATTTCAAGCAATACAATAACATTTCCATGGAAACGAGGAGGCGGCAGAACCTTTCACCAGAAAAGTTCCATAGCACCAAGTGAAGGCCACGGTCTGTTATGTTACGCTGTGTCAAAAAGCAAAAAATAACCAACTCAATTTGTGGGAGAGAGGACTACACACAGCACAACTATATTTCCACAAAAGCAGTTGTGTTCAAAAGCCATCGGAGCTCAGAGAGGACTATTCGTTTTGTATTATTACATGTTTTTACACACACACACACACACACATGAAATTCTCCTGAAATATTTTTAACAACGACAAAGCAGATATGCAAGCAGTTGTTCTTTTACAATCTAATGCAGAATGCAGACTTGAGAGTTTGTGTATTTCGTGGAATTCTTTTTTTTGTTTAGACTTGTAGACGCCTTTAATGATCACTTACATACGAGCTGTAATCCATCTCTGCGGAATTTAAAGTGGAACTAAACACAAAATCAACTGTTTTTGCTACTTAACTGTGAATGGTGTTTTAATAGCTTTGTTCCTAATATTTTTTGGCAAATTTGTGTATAAGTATAAGCCAATTTACAGCTTTGTTTTCAAAAACCGTCGGTGTGTGCTGCCTCTTGTGGTTCGTGGTATTTCAAGTACTATGTGACATCACGCAAGACTGCTCCGGTGTTTCTGATTGCAAACACTGAGCTGCAGGGGCGGAGTTTGACGTTTGGATACCTGTTAGACCAATCAGTCTCACTCTCCCCTTTAGTCC